TCTCAAGGCATTAACACGAAAGGATTTGTTTCTGTTTTTTTGTTTTGTTTTATTTTATATTGTGGCTCAGGTTCTATTTTGAAGATGTATTAAGTTTCTCCTCCAATAAGCAATGAAGTATTCAAGGTCTTATGAAGGATCGATCAAGTCCCTCAAGTCCTGTGGCTGTTTGCCACAGTGATAAATCCTGCTGTAAGTATAGGATGATGTGTCCTATTGGAAATGGGAGTGGGGTCGTCTCTGAGTGCCCCGGTCACCCTGGGCCTGTGGGAGCCTGTCTCCTGACCCTGCCTGCACCCCGGCTCGCCGGCAGTTTGGGCACTGATGGGGCATTGCGGCGTTTTCGGGTCACGGAGGGGGAACCACAGTGTATGGAGAATGCTTGGTTCAGTGCTGGGGTCGAGGGCCATATGTCTTTTGTCTCCCTTTCCCTTTGAGGTACTGCAAGGAATAGAGGAGAGGTGATGATGGTGTTGTGTTTTGGGAGAACCTTACTTCCCAAATGGAAATTGCACTTTTGGCTAAGTCCTTTGCTCTCTCTGTGGTGGAAAGCAGTTCATTCCGTGTCAGGCCCTTGGAGGAGCGGGCTGGCCAGGCCGGGCCTGGTCCTCTTTGGTCCTGTATCAGGGAAGCCCTGTCACCCTGGGCTGCCAAGTGAAGCTGGATTTGGGCGAAGGCTTCCAAGTCTTTCACGCGGGTCCGCCCCTCGCGCGCCTATCTTGGAGAGTTCCCTAACTTCTTCAGGGGTCCCAGTCCAGGCGGCAGTTCTGGGGTCCCACCCCTTCCCACGCCAGTTTGCCAGGAAACCATGCTGATGGGTGCCGAGGTATTGTCAGGTCCCACGTAGTGTACACCCTGCCCGCGTCACTGCTGCTGCCCTGGAGAAGTGGGGGGGAAGGACTTGACTCCAGAAATTCCTTTAAAAGGTGAAAGCAACAATAATTAGAAACATATGGGTGTAAAAAAATGCAAAGATCAGAAACCCTCCTCCCTTCCGCCTGGGATGAGCTTGGGAAATGGGCTGCAGCCCGGTCAGCCACACTCAGACATCACCCCCGGTCCTGGGAGGAAGGCTTGCGGTGGCCAGGTCTGGCTTCTAAATGGGCAGGTCACACGAAGGTCATTCACGATGCTGCTCCGCATCCTGAAGAGCCCTGGCGATGGGCCAGGGGGCGGGGGGTGGTGAGGGTATTTATAGCACAGTGATTGAAAAGGGAAGATTAACGTGTAAATATATAGAAGACAGGCTGGCTGAGGGCTGGTCACAGAAGAGAGAAAGCGCTTTTGAGCTCCTGCCCCAAACCATCCCAGGAGTGATGAGCTAAAATTGGAGTCCAGTGAAGCCATGGGGATGGCATGATCGCCCCTGCTTAGTATTTGACAATTGCAGAAGTAAACCAACCAGCATGGGTTGAGCTGGTTTGAGGGATTTCAGCCTCTAAAATCTTCTTCAAAGAGCAAGGACGTTTTTGTCTGCAAAGTTAAATCTAGTGATGGTTGGCAGCAGTGTGAAATGAGATGCAGGTCGGTTCCCTGTGGCCACGTGACAACCACCAGCTAGATTTTGGCATACTTGACCACTGGACGTGGGCATCACAAAGTTGGAGGCTCCTGGGGCTTGGGGCCGACTATGCAGCTGATTCACGTTTGCTTTTCATCTGGGGGTGAAAAAGCCTGGTTTCCTTTTGAAATGCTTGATTGCACTTGCTGAGCTAAACAAGCCTTGGTGACTGATGTTGATTTGCCTCCAAAGTCCAAGTTCTGAATTTTCAGACTCTGTGTAGCAGTTGGGTATTCAATATACTGTAGCTTTTTATCCCCTCGGGGGCACCTATGAATAGGATGTGTTGATGTGGACTCTAAAACTGTAGTTTTCTTGTAACTATTTTGGAATGATGCATATTTCTAATGTTTGTTATACTTGTACAGAGTATTGCTGTTGGTTGCTTTTTTTCCCTCCTTTGGTTTGTTTTTTAAGGAAAAACATGGCCTGAAAAAAAATTTTTTTAAAAGACTTATAAATACCAAATATAAAAAAATGTCAACACATTATGCGCCTGTTTATTTGTCTTTCTGCCTCCTTACTTTACATCCATGTCATATCATTTACTGAGCAGTTTACTGGCCTGGGTTCAGCTGGGAGATCCTTAGCAAAAGCATGTTTCCCTTGGGATTTTTCCACATTGTTTTGGTTTGCTAGGGGCTGCTGTAACAAAGTACAGCACGCTGAGGGGCTTAAACATTAAAAAAGGATCATCTCACAGTCCTGGAGGCTAGACGCCCGAGATGGAGGTGTCGGCAGGTTGGTTTCCTCTGAGGCCACTCTCTTTGTCTGGTGGACGACCGTCTTCCCCCGTGTGTTCTAATCTCCTTTGTTTACAAGGACACCAGTCACTGTGGATCACAGCCCATGCTAATGACCTTATATGCCCTTAGTTACCGCTGGAAAGACTCTTCTCTCCAAATACAGTTGCATTGGGAGGCACTGGAGGTTAGGATTTTAGCATATAAACTTTGGGGGCACATAAGTCAGCCCAAAGAGCTTCCCTGGTGGCTCAGTGGTAAAGAATCCACCTGCAATGCAGGAGATACAGGTTTGATGCCTGGGTTGGGAAGATCCCCTGGAGGAGGAAGTGGCAACCCACTCCAGTATTCTTGCCTGGGAAACCCCATGGAGAGAGGAGTCTGGTGGGCTATAGTCCATGGGGTCATAAGAGTTGGACCATGACTCAGCAACTAAACAACAGCAGCAGCAACAAAAGTCAGCCCAGAACACACGTGGTGGGTGATGAAGTGGGGGCCCGGGGGGAGTGAGCGGGCCTCTAACGTGTGGGGGCACATGTCCTCAGAGGGGGGGTCCAGGGGTCTGCAGGTGGACAGACGCCCACTTGGAGGCAGCTAACACGCCTTAGCACACCTCCAGATCTTTAGAGGCTTTCTGGTTGATGGATTTGGGGAATCTCAAAGTTTTCAGGGTGACAGTAGTAGTTTGGGGGGGTTTTTCTTTCATCTTGGCAACCCACTCCAGTGTTCTTGCCTGGGAAACCCCATGGAGAGAGGAGTCTGGTGGGCTATAGTCCATGGGGTCACAAGAGTTGGACCATGACTCAGCAACTAAACAACAGCAGCAGCAACAAAAGTCAGCCCAGAACACACGTGGCGGGTGATGAAGTGGGGGCCCGGGGAGAGTGAGCGGGCCTCTAATGTGTGGGGGCACATGTCCTCAGAGGGGGGGTCCAGGGGTCTGCAGGTGGACAGACGCCCACTTGGAGGCAGCTAACACGCCTTAGCACGCCTCCAGATCTTTAGAGGCTTTCTGGTTGATGGATTTGGGGAATCTCAAAGTTTTCAGGGTGACAGTAGTAGTTTGGGGGGGTTTTTCTTTCATCTCACTCCCTTATGCGTTGATGCAAACTCTTAAGTAGACTGAGATGATTTTAAGATATCTCTTGCTCTTTCCTGAAATAAGTCAATCCATTCAACAGTGATGTATTGAGTACCTATTGTCCACCAGCAACTATACCTTGGTGGCCAAGGGTTCAACTGTGAACAAAATAGAAATCTCTGCCCTCGTGGAAAATGAAGGTCGCTCAGTTGTGTTCGGACTCTTTGAAACCCCGTGGGTATACAGCTCGTGGAATTCTCCAGGCCAGAATACTGGAGTGGGTAGCCATTCCCTTCTCCAGGGGATCTTCCCAACCCAGGGATCAAACCCAAGTCTCCAGCACTGCAAGCAGATTCTTCAGCAGTGAAGTAAGAGGAGGTAGACAAACATGCAAATTAAATCCTTAGTATGTTAGAATCAAACAGATGGTGAACATATGATGCAAAGGTATATCATGCCTGGATGCACCAGCTTATTTTCACTAAGGCGGTGCAGCCACAGTGTATCAAAGAGAAAGTGTTGCTATGCGCTCATCACTCAACCCCTGCTTCAAGCCCGTCAGGAAGACAAGGGTGAACACCGCACAAGTCCTGCTCAGAAGAAGGGGACAGTCCAGAGGGCCAGGAGCATGAGGGATGCAAGTGCAAAATGAACCCGAAAAATACCAGAAGCAATTTAAAGAAGCAGGAGACAGGAATCCCAGGAGCGTGAGAGTGGGGAGGGCAGGTGAGCTGGATCTTGAGCAGGATTTTAGTAGGAGGATATAAGGGGGAAGGCAGAGGGTGAATGTGTCCGCTTGGAGGCTGGCGAGCACTTTGGGATGTGAGCTTGCAGGGAGGGTGAGGTGAGGTGAGGTGGTGGCTGATGACCCTGGCAGGGAAGAACCCTGGGACTGCAAGCCTGGTTGACAAAAACAGTCTCAGCTTTAAGATGCTTCACCAGTCGTGTGTGTGTGTGTGTGTACATGTATAAATAAGTAAACTTACTGAGACATGGGCTTCCCTGGTGGCTCAGATGGTAAAGAATCTGCCTGCAGTGTGGGACACCTAGGTTGGAACCCTGGGTCAAGAAGATCCCCTGGAGTAGGGAATGGCAACCCACTCCAGTATTCTTGCCTGGAGAATTCCATGGATGGAGGAGTCTGGCAGGCTTCAGTCCAGGTTGCAAAGGATTGGACACTACTGAACGACTAACACACACACACACACTATTTTGTCTTCGCTATTTTCTCTGCTTGGAAACCGCATGGTGATCACAAAGGTGAGTGAACACAGTAGGATGGAAGGAAGGGACACACCGGACTCTTGGCAGGTTAGTGGGAGTAAACAGTGTACTTTCCCGCACAGAACAGACCACACTGTAGCACGTTCAGCCGGAGCCACGTTTCCCTGAACTCCAGGTCCCACGAGGTCCTCAGTGCTCTTCGCTGTTGGCAGAGCAAGCAGGGATCCTAGCAGATCTTTCGTTTGCTTTGCTGATCGCACCCTCTCAATCTTTCTCTCTCCCCACTTCCCTTTCTCTATTTCTCATCCTCCTCGCCTGTGCCAGCCATCTGGAGACAACAGCTAAATGGCTGGCCTGCTTGCCAAGTCAAAATAACTACTGAGAATTCCAGCACATTCCTGAGTTGTTTATTTGAAATACTGGGTGAAATCAGGTCAGTTTTCCAGGCATGGATTCCTGTAGTATGTCCAGGTCTGCCTGAAGTCTGTTGCTGTAATTATTTTTCTGATTAGGCAGAAAGCACAGATCTGGAGCATATGACAATGTAATTGTTCCAGACGTGATTACTTGCCTCAGTGAGGATAGAAAATTTTTTGCTTTTAAAAAGATGCTTCCAGATGTATGGTGCTAAGAACGTTGCGGCTCCAAAGTTCAGAGGCCTGATCACAGAGTTCCCTGTGCTACACGGCAGATTCTTGTTGGTTATCCATTTTCAGTATAGCAGTGTGTACTTGTCGGTGGAGCTTCCCAGCTGACTCAGCGGTAAGGGTCTGCCTGCCAGTTTATGAGACACAAGAGAAGTGAGTTTGATTCCTGGGTCGGGATGATGACCTGGAGGAGGAAATGGCAACCCACTCCAGTATTCTTGTCTGGAAAATCCCATGGACAGAGGAGCCTGGTGGGCTACATATATATAGTCATTGGGGTTGCAAAGAGTCAGACATGACTGAGCACACACTCACACCCACCCACTCACACACGTCAATACCAAACTCCCTAACTATCCCTCCGATGCTTACTCTCTGGTAGCCATCAATTTGTTCTCTTAAAAAAAAAGTTGAGAAGCAGTAGGTGAAAAAGAGCTGAAGTTTGCCTGGGAAGAGTCTGGAGAGCAACATCTGTGGCTTGTTGAGTCAGAGACTCGAGGGCCTGAGTGTACGTGGGCCCGGGTGGGCGTCACCTTGTTAAATCGAAGCAGTCTAGATACTAAGTATCTTCGGAGGGTATCATCCCACGTGTATTTTGAATCCATCCGCATGTCTTGAATGGTCCCCTGACCATTACCCCTTCAACTGGGAAGCTTCCAGGGCCTACCTTCAAGTCCCAGCCAAGAGGGCGCCTTGAGGGTTAGTTCAGAAGGAAAGAAGACGGAGGAGCGTGGTGACGTGTGACGCTGTGACGCTGTGACGTGTGACGCTGTGACGTGTAATGCTGTGACGCTGCGACGCTGTGACGTGCCGAGACAGTCCGCATATTGCCCAGGGCATCTGAAACACCTAAGAGGTGCAGCTGGTTTTTTTTTTTTTTGAATCAACTTAAATTTGTTTTGATCAAGTACTGTGGGCCGGTAGTGGGCCCTCGGTATGTACGTTTGTGGGGGAAAAAAAAGGCGTGCTCACTGCCCTTGTGGAATTTAAGGGCCTACAGGAGAGGCAGGAAGTGAAGAAGGAATTGAACACGAATCTGTCGGTCCCTTCCGGCTGGAATGAGAGAGCAGCCCCGAGGGAGTGGGCAGGGTGGGGGGCAGCCTGGGACAAACCCGTGGCAGGAGTGGGTTTGGCATTTGAAGAGCAGTGAGAAGGCTGTGGTCTTTGGGGCCTTGCTGGTGACGGAGCTGAGGGCACAGAATGAAGCCAGAGACGTGGTCGGGGCCCATCGGTTGGAGCTTCGTGATGAAAGGGGAGGTTAGTCTACGAGCCCTGGGAGGCCATCCATCAGTTTCCAGGGCAGAGAGTCCTGACGTGCTGGTCCCTGCATGGAGCTCAGGCTGTTGGGAGCCTGGAAGCAGGGAATCCCGTTAGAGCCTCGGGTTTAGCACTGGTTTTGGAAACAGATGAATCTATAGGCGGTGAGGCCTTCCCTGGTGGTTCAGACGGTGAAGAATCCGCCTGCAGTGCAGCAGACCCGGGTTCGATCCTTGGGTCCAGCAGATCCTCTGGAGAAGGGAATGGCTACCCGCTCCAGTATTCTTGCCTGGAGAATCCCATGGACAGAGGAACCTGGCGGGCTACAGTCCATGGGGTTGCAATAGAGTCGGTTATGACTGAATGATTTTCGCTTTGACTTCACAGCCCTTGAGGAGGAACTAAATGTTCTTGACTCTAAAGGCTAAACTGCTATTATTTTGTCCCATTTGGCTGCCTCTCTTCTGGGTTTTCTCACTTCTCTGATTGAACGTATCCTGTTTCTGGCTGTGTTGGGTCTTATTGCTGCGTGTAGGCTTTCTCTAGTTGCCGCGATCGGGGTCTGCTCTCCTGTGGCGGAACCTGGGCCCTCGGGTGTAGGGGCTTCAGTTGTTGGAGCCCGCAGGCTCTATAGTCGTGATGTATGGGTTGAGTTGCTCCATGGCGTGTGGAATCTTCCCAGACCAGGGGCGGAACTGTATCCCCTGCTCTGGCAGGGGGATTCTTATCCCCTGGACCACTATGGAAGCCCCTAAGTTTATTCTTCCGCTAAAATTTTTCTGCAGACAAGAGGCAGGCAGAGGACACGGTGGGGGAGGTGGGGGGTGGGGGGAGGTCTGTCCTGGGAAGGGCCCAGAGAGTCCTGCTCGGTTACAATGGGATATAAAAATCAAGTGATCACCAGGGCTCTTATGATGTGTAAAGCTGAAGTGAGAAAAGCAATTTATAGAACTGTAAGAAGATAATTCCAGGAAGCAGTTAGGTAAGTACATAAGAAGATAAGAAAGAACACTACAGTGGTGTAAGGGTGGGGTTATAATTTTTTAAAAAAATATTTATTTTTGGCTGCACTGGTCTTCGTTGCTCTGAGGACTCTTCTCTAGGTGTGGTGAGCGGGACCTGCTCTCTAGCTGCAGCGAGCAGGCTTCTCATCGCAGCGGCCTTTCCTGGTGCAGAGCCCAGGCTCTAGGCCCAGGGGGCTCAGTGTTGAGGTTCCCAGGCTCTAGAGCACAGGCTCCGTAGTTGTGACACACAGACTTAGTTGCTCCATGGCCTGTGGGACCTTCCCAGACCAGGGATTGAACCCATGTCTTCTGCACTGGCAGGCGGATTCTGTACCACTGAGCCTCCAGAGAAGCCCCCAATGGTGGGGGGTTATGAGTAGCTTTTATTTTTACTTTCCTAAATTTTATAATTTTCCCCACTGACTATGGAGTTCTTGTTGAGACTAATTTAACACTTTAGCATGTTTCTTCTTGACTCAGAAAAGTAAGCTAAAACATATTTCAAGATATAGTTGTCCAGATTTACCAAGTTCTTCAAAATGAGTGTGAACCCAAGGCTTTTTTGAGTACCTCCAGTTGCAAGGAGTTTGTTAAAAAGTGAAAGTTAAATTTCTGGTATTAGATTCTGAGCTAAGCTGGAGGAAACAGGGGCCCACCTTCTTGCTCTGGGTTGAGTGTGTGTCTGCCAGGGTGGAGAGCCTGGTTGGCACCTGGGGGGCAGGGGGAGGAGGCAGGGAGAAAAGAGGGTTAGCCCTGTTCCTCAAAGTTCTTCCAGCTCTCCCACCCTGTCTGGGCTTCCACGGCTCCCTTACTGGATGGTCCCTGGGCCCTCAGAAGAAAAACAGGAGGGCCTAGGCATCACCCTATAAATGGTGTGTGTGCTCAGGCATCGTGTTCAACTCTTTGCCGCTCTGTCCATGCAATTGCTATTTCCTACACCAGGGGATCTTCCTGACCTTGGGATGAAACTCACACCTCCCTCGTCTTCTCCATTAAGCAAGGTGAATTCTTTACAACGGAGCCACCTGGAAAGCTCCCTTATAAACCGTTCAGTTCAGTCACTTTGCCATGTCCGACTCTTTGTGACCCCATGGACTTCAGCACGCCAGGCCTCCCTGTCCATCACCAACTCCCGGAGGTTGCTCAAACTCATGTCCACTGAGTCAGTGATGCCATCCAACCATCTCATCCTCTGTTGTGCCCTTTTCCTCTTGCCTTCAGTCTTTCCCCGCATCTGCTGCTGCTGCTAAGTCATTTTTCAGTCATGTCCAACTCTGTGCGACCCCATAGATGGCAGCCCAGCAGGCTCCTCCGTCCCTGGGATCCTCCAGGCAAGAAAACTGGAGTGGGTTGCCATTTCCTTCTCCAATGCATGCATGCATGCTAAGTCGCTTCAGTCATGTCCGAGTCTGTGTGACCCTATGGACAGCAGCCCACCAGGTTCCTCTGTCCCTGGGATTCTCCAGGCAAGAATACTGGAGTTGGGTTGCCATTTCCTCCTCCGCCCAGCATCTGTAGATACAGCTTAATTCCCTTTCTTGCAGGCAGGTGAGGCCTGGCAGCGATTTTGCATTTTGCCATTAGATGGCGCCAAAGGACTGTGCTGAGAAAGCAATTCAGGTTGTCAGATGGCAATGGAGGAAAACAGGTTTTCGAAAAAGAGACTCAGAGAGCTGGCTTTGAAGTGAGCACGGGTCAGATCGTCCCCGAGGGTGTACAAGCAGCTACCACCTTGGTGGGAGGTGGGGCTGGAGGTGGAAGAGCTGGAGTCAGAGCCAGGAATTCTTTGGTGCTCAGTAGCTGTCAGCAGTCTACTGGGAGCGTGGACAGGGCCCGAGGTGCAGGAGCAGAAACCCTGAGGATCAGGTCTGAGCTGGTTCATGGATCCCTTCCAGGCGAGTGCGGATTCTCGGCCGCAGCGCTTCTTCCTAGTGGAGAACAGCACCAGGAGCAAGAGTGGCTGCAGTGGCTTCCCCATGTGGGTGGGGTGCTGAGAACCCAGTCACAGCCCCAGGCCGTTTTCAGTCTTTTTCTGCGCTGTTCCCAGGGAAGCAAGCATACGCGTACCATCTTCACAAGTGAAGTATTAGTTTCTTTCAGTCCTCCTGGAAGTCTCTGATTTTAAAACCAGCCAAGGGGACTTTTTACAGCATCGGACCTTGCTACTATCACCAGTCCCATCCACAACTGGGTATTGTTTTTGCTTTGGCTCCATCTCCATCCCTGAATTCTTTCTGTAGTTATTTCTCCACTGATCTTCAGAAGCATATTGGGCACCTACTGATCTGGGGAGTTCCTCTTTCAGTGTCCTGTCATTTTGCCTTCTCATACTGTTCATGGGGTTCTCAAGGCAAGAGTACTGAAGTGGTTTGGACATGAGTTTGAGTAAACTCCGGGAGTTGGTGATGGACAGGGAGGCCTGGCGTGCTGCGATTCATGGGGCCGTAAAGAGTCGGACACGACTGAGCGACTGAACTGAACTGAAGGGGACTCTTGTAACAGGGAAGAACAAAACCCAGTTCCACGTTGGATCTGTTTCTTTGACTTTAGCCTTTGTTTTTCATTGCTTTGTTATTATAGTCAGTAACATGATGTTGTCTATAGCTGTTTAGTTTAGTTCAGTTCAGTCACTCAGTTGGTTCCGACTCTTTGTGACCCCATGGACTGCAGCACGCCAGGCCTCCCTGTCCATCACCAACTCCCGGAGCCTCCTCAAACTCATGTCCATTGAGTTGGTGATGCCATCCAACNCCTACTCAAACTCATGTCCATTGAGTTGGTGATGCCATCCAACCATCTCGTCCTCTGTTGTCCCCTTCTCCTCCTGCCCTCAATCTTTCCCAGCATCAGGGTCTTTTCCAGTGAGTCAGTTCTTTGCATCAGGTGGCCAAAGTACTGGAGTTTGAGCTTCAGCATCAGTCCTTCCAATGAATATTCAGGACTGATTTCCTTTAGGATGGACTGGTCTGTAGCTGTAAGCATATATAATGGCCTGCCTCTGGGAACCTGCCTCTCTGCCAGAATGTCAAACTAAAGTGCCTTTGTTCAACTCTCAGGGAGACCTTCTGACCCTGTCCACCTGCGGATGGCGGCAGGAAAGAGGAAATTGATATATTTCACCCCTCCCCCACTCCATGTTGGCCAAGTCAAGAGATGTTTGGCAAGATTTATTCCCTCTTTGGGCTTCCCAGCTGGCGCTATTGGTAAAGAACCTGCCTGCCAGTGGAGGAGATATAAAGAGTTGCAGGTTCAATCCCTGGGCCAGGAAGATCCCCTGGAGAAGGAAATGGCAAACCACTCCCGTGTTTTTGCCTGGAGAATAGATAGATAGATAGAGGAGCCTGGTGGGCTACAGTCATGGGGTGGCAAAGAGTTTTTTAGTGACTAAACAATAACAAGGCCTTTTCACTTCCGGGCCTCCTCCCCTCTGTTCTATAAAAGAAACTGGCACCCAGACCCCATAAGATGTACT